ATGAGATAAAAAACGAAGAAAAAAAATTAAACATGACAAAAAAAAAGGGAAACAAAATAATTTTAATCATTTGATTAAAAACCCCTCAGTGTTTATTTTTTGTGAAATTGCGACTATTATACTAATTCAGACAATAGAATTAGGAAGAGAGTGAAATGATTAAAACAAAGACGGAACGAACAGGAACTACTGACTATTCGATGCCTGGCCTGATTTTGTTTGGATTACCCACCGTCAGTCCGGAACCCCGAGTTGATCAAATTCTCTGAGCTCTAACCCCTTTTGTTACTATCCCCTGATGATCGGGATTTTCCACGACGTTCTCCTGATTTACCTGACTATTGACCCTCTGAGTCAGTCCGAGGATGGTCACATGGGCAGCGTGAAACAGTGCTGCTTTGGACCAACGGTATGATATTTGGGTCGGTACGGACACCGGTTCGGAGGGGTTCCGGTTATAGTTCAGTGTTTTGGTTCGGGGTGAGCTCATTATCAGTGCATTTCAGGTTCGGACATCTGAGTGTGATTTATTATCAGGCTTGGGGCTGCTACGACGATCTATTTCAGCTTCGCCGCCGCTATGGCGGTTTATCCTGGGCACGGTGCTATTGCGACCATTGATTTCGGATTCGGTATGACTCGATACCGACATATTTTTTTTCCAGCTCGACAAGGGTTCGACATCAGCTTATTTCAGACTCGAGCAGATCAGGGTGATTTATTATCCGGTTTGGAACCACCACATTGATTTATTTCAGGATCGGAACAGCTTCGACGTGACTCCGACCGTCTACTTCCGGATCAGCACCAAAACGACAATTTATTTCAGCATCGAAGCCATTGCCACATTAATTTTCTGGTTCGGTTTGGGGTCGGCTGGCACGGTATGGGCTATTTCAGTTCTCTGCGACAACGATCGGATGTGTGTGTGAAAAACGACTCCAAATGATTGGTATGATTTGGTACGGGTGCTACGGTTGGAGGCATTGTCACGGAACAGTTGGTGCAAAATACCGCGGCCAGTAGTTGCAGCCCTAGACGGCTATGTCAATGGGACTCAACGGTTCAATATTGAGGCCCTCTTCATCATCTTGGGTATGTACGGCACTGGCGTGAGGCTTTGGTCTGTCACCGGACTGGTACGGTCCTTGGGCCAATACAGCTAGGGCACGGGGCCGCGGTACTATTATGCTCGGCACAGTTTCTGATTTGGTAACTAGGACAGTTCTCTTTGATTTTGACTGCAACGCCTATCAGTACCATTGGACTGGAATTCCCACAGTACGGGGGTACCCTGGCCCTCAGCAGCATGTGCTCCGTAAAAGGCTACGGTCGCAGCATATAGGGAAAGGCAGCGAAGAGAGGGGGGAGACACTCAGTACGAGCAAGGTGTACCCGCGTATGCAAGCGCGGGGAAGACGCGCCAGCGCTGAGGCGGTTACTCCGCTTGTGAGGGGAGTGACGTGGGGGAAAGGAGCATGCAAGGTGTACCTGGCCCACAACATA